TCTCACTGGGCAGAGGACAGCTGCTCACTCATACATTAGGAGGAAGGGGAGTTCGCACCTCCAGAAAAGCCACAAGGAGAAAACCTTGGCTAACAGGAGACCCCCTGGTGACCTCCTGGCCTTCCTGCACCTCTTCTCCAGGTTCCACTACTGGGACCTGTGCTGGCACCCCTCGATGTCTCCCATGCCAGCTGGCTGGGGACTGCTCCCTGCCCCTTGCTGCCCTCCGTCTGTCTGGCTGGCCGGAGCAGGCTGGGACGGGTTCCCTGCCGGGGACACTCCTGCCCCGCCACGCCACCGCTGACAAGTGCTGACTTTTCCTCCCCCTCGCCTGGCCTTCCTGAACAGGCTGCCTGTGTTCGGGGCTGGGAGGGGCTGGGGGAGGCACTGTGACGCCTCTCATCCTGGCCAACGTGGACGCCTTCAGGGCAGGCAGTGGGATGGAGCCTGGGGTGGCAGAGTTGGCTGCTAGGACCCGGTGGATCTTCACAGGCAGCCTCTACCTGGGCTGGGGGAGCGAGGCCCAAAAGGATGGTATGAACTAGCCTAACCATAAGGTGGTCAGCAAGACAGAATCTTTCCAAGTCTCACTTCTGCACAAGGCAGGTTCCAGAGCTGGGGGTTCTGAAGGGTTTAGAGGTTTCTGAGGTCTCTGAGAATCTGAGCAAAACTCTGCACCCTCTCCCAGTCGCACTGTATTTTGCAGACAATTTCTGGCATCTGCAAACCCCCACCCCACCCTTTCTTTTTCCTGGGGACTTTCTGAAAGAGCTGCCTTCCTGATGTGGTGGCCGGACCAGGGAGTGTCCCCAGAAGGCCCACAACAGGAATCTGGGGGAGGCCTCTTGACGCCTCATTAAAACATTCCGAAGAAAACCCAAATTCCCGGGAGGGTTCAGCCCCCTCCTCCTGCTCTGTCCACAGGCGCTCCCAGAGCTGCGGGTGGAGGGATGGGGTGTTTAAGGGCAGGTGATATAAAAAGCTTCAACAAATCAATACAAAAAAAAGAGACAAATAACCCATAGAAAGGGGTAATGGCTCTGAGCAAGCTCTTAGAGGATTAGAGGATGGACCATAAACCAGTGTACAAGTCCAGAGGCTCACTGGTCATTAGCAGATTAACATGACAAGAGACACCGGTTTTCATGTCATTCTCATTAAAATGACAAGAGACCCCACAGCAAAGGTAAGGAAAAGAATCTTCAGGCTATCCCGTGAAACAGGGAGTATGCGTTAGAGACCTGTAGGTCACTTCTAGGGCCGAGAGTATAAACCTGCACGGGTGTTTTAGAGGGCCGTTTGGCCATGTCTCTTGAAGTAAAAAAAAAAAAAAAGCATGTTTTCAGACCCAGCAATGATAGGATCTAGAAATATCCTACAAGGAAACGGTTGCACAAGGACACAGGAAGGCATTTCAAGGGGCTTCTCTGCCGCCATCTGAAATCTCTCTCTCTCTCTCACACACACACACTCAAATATTATGCAGAAATGATCTAAATGTACAGTCCAAGGGACTGCTAATGAATCTCAGGCTTTGGGAATACTATGCAGCATTAAAAAAGACAGATTTATATTTACTGACATGAAGGTCTCCAAGATACACCTTTAAGTAGAAAAATGCATATGGCAGAGCCCTTATCTACAAACTGCCATCATTTATTAAAAAAACAAACAGAACAACAGACTAAAACTATCTACTTTGTATGGACACCAAAGGGACCTTTTTGGAGAAAAAGCTCTAGGAGAACATCTCCCACCCAGACTGTTTTTAAAAAAAGCTTTTTCTCCAGAATGGAGAATGGGGTTTGGGAGGAATCAAGGTTAACGTCTCTTTAATCTGTATTACTTGAATCTTCAAGAAGAAAGAACATATTCAAGTATAGTTCTGAAATTAAAATAAGAAAATAAAAGGAAAATAGCCAAAGGATTGTACTAGAAAGAAAGAAAAAGAGGAAAAAGGAAACCAGAGGGAGATATACGGATCTCCTGCCAGCACAAGCCCTCATCCTATTTTGGAGGAAGAAGCTCAGCGCAGGTGTCTGAAGGCCCGAGTTGAAATCCAACCTGGGGCACAGACCCACTGTGTGACCCTCAGGGCCCTTTCCCATAAAATGGGTGGAGGAACAGATGGAATGAGAAAAGACTTGTGATGGTTCCTAGCTCAGAATCTGGGGACAGCCACTGTTCAATACATGTCAGTTCCTCCCTGTCTATAAAAGTGAGCCCCTTGGCTAGCTGACCCTGGGGCACGCTGGGAGTGCTTCCGTGGAATCCCACCCACCACCGCCTCTCCTGAGTCTGACCCTGAGGTCATATCTCTACACTCTAAGCCTGCCCCTCCCAACCCCACAATGCCGACCTTCGGCTGCTCCCACTGCAGTTTTTCCTTCACAGTGTGCATGCCGAGGGTGTCCGTAGGGTGAGGCATCCCCAAGGACAAGACCACCTCTTTCCCCGCTCCCGCACTCAAAATCTGCCGACCCATCTCTTCCTCCAAACGTCACCCTACCTGACCCTCAACCTTACAGCTACTCTTTTCTGGCAGAGAAAAGATGGAAGGCACAAGATGGATCAGCTGAGTCTGGCCACAGCGAGTATCCTCCCACTGGGAGACATTTTGGTCCTGCAACTGTGAGGTCCCTGGACTGGGGCCAGTTGGGTGGGCAGCATGTAGGTTTGGTGATGGGAAGCTATCCGCTGAGGATGAAGCGATATCCACTGGATGTAGGAGAGGATGTAGGCAGACTGAGTTTCTTGCTGGCTCCAGCTGAGCTCAGGGGGCCCACAGGCTGTTGGGGGAACCCTCGGGCCATATCCTCTATCCCCAGAGCCAGGGAAGGTTCAATGTGCTCATGTCCTGTGTGCCAGCCACGGATGTTCCAATAAGGTCCCAGCCCTGGCATCCTTTCTCTTTCCCTACCCTCATGGGCCAGGGCTAAGCCAGGCAAATTCTTTGCATGTGCCTCAGTTTCCCTGGAAATCAGTGTGGGTCCCCATGGGTCCCTCATAGAGGCACAGGGCTTGACCATTGTGGAGATGCAACAAATAATGGTCATTATCAGTTGTGTGAAGGTCAGTTAAAGGAGACAATAACAGAACCCTTTCTCAGAGGGTTGTTGGAAAGATTGAACTAGCTAATATTGTAAAGTGCTTAGAACGGTGTTTGGTAAGTAGACAGCACTACAGAAGCATTTATTCAATAAAAACAAGGAAAAAAAACAGACCTGGGTGCAAGTGTGATCACAAATACACAACACACATGTATGCAAAACCATGCTCCTGCAAGTCACGTGCAGACTTACAGCCGCAGACACCCAAGAACTCACACAAGGACTCGGACATTCGCACTCACACAGACCCAGAGAATACCACTCTCCGAGTCCCACTGTGCCCCTCTTGGAGACACAGATATACTCACAGGTCACCCACGCCCATGACCCCGTCTATTCCTCAACAGTCGTTTGCACACATGCATGTCCACAGACCATGCTGGCTGGCTCTGCACAGTGGTTATGCTCACACAACTTGGAAGGGGCCCTGGTAAAGGTGACCCTGGCCCGAGGGGAGGCTAGGAAATAGCTCTGGACCCTGGCATTCACCAGGGTTTTGCAGCACGCCTGCACAGGGTGCTGATCATCTCTGAACCTCAGTTTCCTCATCAACAAATCCTTGTATGGGGTGATGTCTCTGGCTTTGGGGTGCCATGCTGTGTGGGTATGGGCAACAGTGAATGGGATGTGCTAAAGCCAGCAGAGAAGAGGACAGCTGTAGATCAGGGAACTCTTAGGCAAATGTTTCTTTCTTGGTGTCTTTTTACAGATAGGGAAACTGAGGTGGGGAGAAGGATTGCACAAGGTTACACAGGCTTTGGCAGAACTGGAGGAATCTAAGAGCTCCCGCCTTCCTGCCTGGGGCTCCCCGTGGACAGGGAGCCGGGCAGGAATGGGCCGCCCGCCTGTCTCTCTAGAAGGCAAATACCCACACCTGGGAGGTGAGGGGGAGGAACCGGGGCCTTGAAGTCAGATGCACAGGCGGACAGTCTCCTCAGCAACGGCTGGTGCCCCGAGACAGGGCTGCTGTGGGATCCGACTGACGCCCCAGGAAATCATCCCAGACCTGGCCCAGAATGAGGAGGGTACTCACGCTTCGTGCCTCCAGCTCTCAGCCCCTGCCAGTCTCTCCCTATTTTTCTTTGCTATTCTTGGTCTATCTACTCCTCCTGCCCTGGGGAGGTCTCACTCCCATCCTCTTTGTCTCTGTCTCTCTCTTCTGTCTAACCTCATCTCCTATTCTGTCGCTTCTCCCTCTGGTCCCTTCTTGGCCTCTGCTCTCAGGAGGGTACAACGTGGGTCCCCTCACGCACCCGATCGAGTTTCTCTTGTGGGAGTGTCTTGTGAGGTCAGTCTCCTTCAGGGGACCTCCATCCCTCCTCCATATACCACACCATACCCGCCTCCATGGGCAGACATCTTCCAGTCTGGGTGAAGCTGGACATGAGTGCAAGCATGTGTGTGTGCGTGCAATGGTGCAAACTGGAGGGGGTCCCTAAACCCTACCCCCTGACCTCATTCCAACAGCCCTGTGTCCCAGATTGCAAACAAAACTTGCAGAAAACACAGGCCCCCAGAGCAAAGTCTGTGGGATCCAACGTCAGAGCCAAAGCCCAGTCTTCTTCTAGATCACACTGTCATCTTCAAGGGAGACACAGAGCAGAGATGCTCTTAGAAGCAGAAGACAGGAGAACCCCAAACACAGATTTCCAGACCTGGGACCCCAACCCCAGGCTTCAGAAATAAGGAAACCTTATAGGCAATCTGCAGCCCAGTGTCCAGGCATCCCAGAGACAGCAGGCACCAAGGATGCCGGGCTGGAGGGGATCCCCACCCAAAGTTCAGATTATTGGGGGTAACTCAAGCCTCTGAGCCCTGGACACACATCCCCCCTCCAGGGACCCCAGAGCAAGCCCGAAGCCTGTCCAGGAGTGTGAGCGGGTGACTTACCAGCGCGTATGCGGAGCTGAGCACCGGGCAGCAGAGCAAGAGCGCCAGGCCGGGCGCGATCCGGGCGGCCCCCATCGCCACCGCCTAGGGCCCCGTCCCTCGGGGCAGCCGCCGCCGCCGGCCCTGGTGGTGGTGGTGGTGGTGGGGTACAGAGCTGCGTCAGGCCGGGCTGCCCCGCCCACGCCACGGCCTAGGGGACCCCGGAGGCCCGGCGGCCCGAGGCCCCGGGGCCCGGCGCGGGGCCCATGCGCGGAGGGCTAGCGAGCGAGCGCAAAGGAGAGAGGGAGGGAGGAAGGGAGGCAGCCGGGGGCCGGGCGGGCGGCGGGCGGCAGGCGGCGGGCGGGCGCCGAGAGCTGCGGAGCTGCCCGTCTGCCTCCGAGCGGAGAAATCACATCCATATGGCCGGGCCCCCCGCCCCCGGCCCGCCCCCCGCCCCCCCACCCCACCCCGCGCCGCCTTTTCTTTCTTTCTTTTTTTTTTTTCTTTTGGGGAACTGGGAGCTGTGGCTTTGCCCCCACGCCCAGTGGGGGGAGGGGTCGGGGGAGGGGTTGGGGTCGCGGTCTGCGGGGGGCCACCGGGACTGTTATTTTTAGCTCCGCTGCTAGCGCAAGTCGGGGGGCGGGGCGGGGCGGGGGGCGCGTTTTGCGCAGCTCGGGGCGTGCAGCTTGGGTACTCTAGCCCAACTTTGCAACGACGCTGAACCCTTCGAGGATCAGGCCGCCAGCTCCTCTCCCCTCGGCCCCCTCTGAACCCCATCCAGTCGGCGGCGGGCTCCGGCAACTCCCTCTCCATCCTCGGCCGGAGCCCCGCCTGCGCCCGCGCCGCTAGAGCGCGCCTGCGGCCGGGACGCTCGGTCTGTCTGCCTGTCTGTCAGTCCATCTCTAGCTCCCCCGGCCTTGGCCTCCGTTCCTCCAGCAGCCCCGAGCTCCGTTTCGGTCACTCCCTCGCTCCTTCCTTCCCCTCCCCCTTTTCTCTCTACGAAAACATTTGCAAGTTTCCAAAAAAGCCACGGAGCCGAGCGGCACGGGGCTGACGGCTCCACGGGGCTCGGAAGAGGCGCCGCTGAACCCGAGACAAACCAGCCCGCCCGCCCCGGTCGGGCCGAGAGTCTACCCTCCCCACCTCCAGCCCCCTCCCCTCACTGCTGGCCCTCAACCCCGACTTACTCCGAGCGCGCCGCCGCGGCCCCCGCCTAGCCATGGGTGTCGGGGATCCCCCGACAGCCTCCCCAGGACAGCGCCCCGTCCGCGGCCCCGGGGGGACTTCATGGAGCTCTTGGGATCCCCCCCTGGCCGGCCTGGCCTCCAGCGCCCCCCGCCCGGCCGCCGCTCAGAGCCGCCGCCCGCCGCGCGCGTCCCTCGCCTCGGCGTCTGCCGCTCCCCCTCCCCCCGCGGCCCGGGCGCCTCTTCCCTCCCCCGCGCCCTCCCTGGGCCTCTCCGCCCCCCGCTCCCCTCCGCCGTCTCCGACGCGGGTGTGCGGAGCGGAGCCCGCGGCCCCTGCTCCGGGAAGATTCTCTAGAGGCCGCGGCCAGGGGTCGCACATCGGCGGGATGTGAGTGTGCAGGGGACGGGGCTGGGAGCTCTGACATCGGGGCCCAAGAACGTGGCGCGAGCCGCTGCCGCCGCTTCATTTTCCTCTCCGGGAAGGCACAGACGTTATTTATTTTTTTCCTGATCGTCTGGCCCGGGCCGGTGAATAGGGGCCCTCAGCCGCGCAAACAGGCCCTCTTCACGGGCGGTACCCCGCGGGCCCCCGGCTGCAGCGCTGTCTGTCCGCCCGCGGGACTCCCGCTCAGGCTGGACCGGGATCCCCGGGGAGGCGGCTCGGCCGCCAGCCCCAGAGCCTGGCTCGGCCGCCGCCGCCGCCCTCCCGGCAGCCCCGCCCTCTCCTGGACCCCCAGCTCAGGGAGCTCCCGAGTGGGTCGGTGTGCTGCGCCCTAGGCCCGCCCCCGTCCCTGCCCGCGTCTCTGGCCTCACACCCCTCTCCCTCCCTCCCCAGTTTTTCTCCCGGGTCCGGGTCTCTCCGAATCTAGACCCATCCAGACGCCGGCCGGGCCCCTGTAGCTCCGCCCCTGACTCCACCCCGGGCGGCTAGAGGCTGCAAGACCCTAGACTCAGCTGAGCCCCCCACCGTGAAGCTCCGCCTTTCTCTTCCACCCTTTCACACCCCCAAAAGCTCTTGGCCGGCTCTAGCGCACTGGGGACCCTCGACTTGGGAAAAGGGCGGGAGGAGGTTTTGGGGGCTGGGGCCAGGCGGGGGCCGGGCTTATGTGCACCCGCCCAGCCCCGGAGAGTCGGGCTCAGCGGAGGGGGCCTTGGACCCCAAACCTACGACCTATCTGGTGGGGAAGCTGAGGTGCAGCGAAGGCCGGGGGATGCCTGAAGCAGAGGGCTCCAGGGATCTTCAGGAGGAAGCTAATGTGACTGTCGGGACCTTAAGTGGCAACCCAGCTCACCCACTTACCAGTTGTGTAATCCTGGACACGATGACTCTCCTGCTGTCTGAGCCTCAGTTTCCTCATCTGTAAAATGGGAAGCTGACCAGCTGATTCAAAGGGCACTTTTGACTTTACTGTTGTAGTGCCTCGGAGGGTGGGTATCTCTCTGGGTTTCCCAGAGACCAGTGGACTCTGAGGGCTCCCCAGGCTCAGCCTGTGGAAATCGAGCTCCTCAGAGCCCTCAAACCGGCCCCATGTCTCAGAGTCGGCCCCTTTCTTCAAGGTGAATGAGTGCACAAGCCCTAAGGCTACTGGAATCTAGTTGCAGCCAACTTTCCTGGCAACCTGTCCCTCCCTGCTCAAACTCACCCATCTCCCAAGACTGTACCCACAGTGGTCTCCTTCACATTTCTATGGCCATACTCTCTTCCATGCCCACTACCCTCAAGTTTCTCGTCCTGGTGTTTAAGGACTGCGCTGTTGGAGGCAGTTTCCTCCAAAGGTGACTCTCTAGTTCACTAGACTCCTGGCCCTCTTTCTGTGCTCACTCCCCTGCATTTGCCTTTGTAGTTTGCTCTTCCAGGATCATACTTCTTTGCCTGACATAAAGGCCATCTCTGTCTCCTTGCGTCTCTGTCTCTTCCGTTAATGGGGAGGTTGAAGCCGCTCTGGTTTGGGGGCTGCTCCCTATGATGCATGGGCTCTTCTGGAACAGGAACAGAGAGGCTCAGGTGCCCAGAGCAGGCACCTCAAAACACTTGAGGTTCTTCAGAGAAGTTTTATGTCTCTGTTTCTAAGCAATTCGATCCCAAGTTTTATGACTGGATGACCCACAGCCCTTGATGATAGGAAAAGAACATTCACGGAGGGACTGGAGGCACTGAGGGGTAGAGCAGCGGCTGACGCAGGGGATCCTTCTCAGATCTGACACCAGCAACCTTGAGATTGAGAAGCAAACAGTATTTGTGCTTGGGAGGACCAGGATGGGCTATGGATAGGGCTGCAGAGAAGGATCTAATGGGCTCTGGGCCCCTTAAGTGTGTTTCCTTAGCTATAACTCATGTGCCTCAGTCCAGACTTCTGCTGGACATTCCACCACTGTGGGTGGGGCCTCTGACCCCCTAAATCAGCCCCAGGCCTCTGGTTAAAGTGCCACCATGGGGGTTGGGGGTGTCACACATTAACCGGTAGCGCTCCAGTGCCTGGCAGAGCACAGCCCACCCTTTTTGACAGGCAAGCCCCAGGGCCCCAGGGTCAGTTTCTGGTCAGTTTCAGGTCAGTTTCAATGGTGTCTGGAAAGACCTGGTTGGGGGTGGTGAGTGGGTATAAGTCCCTGTAGGGACCCCCCTCTTTGACCCCCCAGGCTGGGGCCTGGGAGGAGGGGCTAAGGCAGTCCAGAGCTCAGAACTGGGGCCGGACTCCGGTTCAGCAGCGCTGGGCTGACAGGCCTCTACTACTGCCACTGCCACCATGAGTAGGGCTCCGGCCAAGGCACACAGACCCTGGGGCCAGAGTGGGCACCAGGCTCAAACAGGAAGAACAAAGGCCCTCTGAGACCTCTGCAGCCTGGCCTCACTCCCTCAGAAAACCCCTTGCCCTAGCCTGGAGGCTGTCTGGGAGAATTAGCCCACAGATAGCACCCCTACATCTTTCCTTCCCTCAACCCTAGCCCCAAAGTCAGCCTGAGTCCCAACCTCAGCCCTGACCCCAGAGTTAGCTTAACCCCCGCGCCTTACCCCGGCATCCCTATCCCAGTCTGATCTCTAACCCCAGATTGAACCCTGACCCCCGGCTGAGCCTCCACCAGGCCTCAATCCCAGACCTCTTTCCAGGTTCCTAGGCCCCTCTGGAAGCTGTTCAGCGCAAGGGGCTGGCTGGGGAGGGATGGCCAGGCCATAAGTGAGCCGAGGTGCCACTTTTACAGCCATTTCGGCTGCTCATAAACACCCCCCACCCGGCTGAGTCACTGGAGGCTCCCAGGCAGCTGGTTGGGCAGCCCCCTCCCCTTGCAGCAGGAGGCCTGGCTTTCTCACTTCTCAGGGAGGCAAATGGCAGGAAGCTGGGACACAGGGAACTGGGCTGCCCTGTCCCAAGCAGAGAATACTCCTGGGGCAGGCGGCTGTAGTTGTGGGATTTCTGTCCCTTCTGGTCACATGATCACAGCCCCCTGCTGCAGTAACACCAGATCCGTAGGTATCTCCTAGTAGGCATACCTCATCTGCCCCGCGGGCACAGGGACACACACACTAACCAAACGAGGGGCCCCGAGCCTCCCCTCTTCCAGCTACACTCAAGTCCCAGGGCTCCCCTGCACCCCACTCACCTGGAACCCACAAGACTGTCCAAGTAGGGCCTGGAGCCACAGAACAGACTCAAATTGGCCATGGGAAGGCCGTGGATAGCCGTGAGCAGCTTCTGTGGTTCAGGCCTAAGCAAGGATGTTGCTGTTCGGAACAGGAAAAGGCCTGAGTCAGAGCTTTCACTTGAAAAAAAAAAAAAATTAATTATTTTTTTACCAAACTCTGCACCAGCCCAGGACTTTGTCCCAGACCCCTGGTCAAGGAGCAGAGGCAGGTCCAAGCAAATCAGTGTTCAGGTGCCCAGGCCAGTTCAGCCCCTCAGGTGTGTGCGTGCCTCA